TTTACTGTTTTATCTTTTAGGGAAAATATGTTTAAGAACTTATTTCAAAATATCAATAATATATATATATATATATATATATATATGTATAATGTTATGAAATTTAAGCTATTTAGTCTAAACATTTATCTTTTCATGTTATAATTTGTGTTCATTCTAGAATGAAAGAGGCATAATTTATATTTATTTCCTCATTTTTTATGGTGGTTGCGAGATCGGTCAAATCTACTGAACCCGTACAGAGATTAATTGCTGATAGTAGATAACATAAATTTTTTTCTTAAAAATTGTTTGATAACTATCTCAACATTATAAAGGTTTCATAATATTCATAAAAGTATTTTTGATCTTAAAATGAATATTTGCATGAGAAAAACATTGCTTTATAAACCTTAAGACTTAATAATAAAAAAAATAGATATTTTGCGTATGAACGCATTGTAATGTTTATTGATAATCTGCCAAATTTCATTAACATTCGCTTAGTAATCTAAAAGTTATAGCATGAAAACTATAACAAGCATAAAATGGTTACAAGGTCGGTCTGAGGGACTGAGCCCATGCTGAAAGAGTTAAACTGCAAAACTTGCTTTAAAATATCGCCTGGTACAGCTAATCACTTGCACGTTGGCTAACTACATATTTTATCTACTTTACATTCAACTTACTTAATGTTTTATGAATAAACTCTTAACTTCTTTAAAAATTGCCCGACACAGCTGAACCTGCCAATTTAGATTTCAATTGACTTTTCTCTACTTAACTTGAACTGACTTGGTTGCATATATTTATATGTTGTTCACTGAGGCCTCAAACTTTCTATAAGTTATGCGAGTGATGGTATAACATAATACTAACTTAAGATAACAAGAAAAATACCGAAGATTTGAGTAACATGGCATTATCAGTGCTACAACAATTGAACCATGCACACACACAACGTACGAATCTTAGAGTTATGCAACCAAACCTGCCACAATCATTGCCCCTAAAAAAATCACCTTCAACTCTTGCTATGAAAAGCAGCGAATAATCATTACCTATCAAATAACCCAATAAATTAAACAATAATGCTTACACTAAACAGTCTTGTACATCCAACATGATTCCATTTGATTAATTGCTTATTACTGTGTTTCTCAGACATAGTACCTACAAACAAATAAAATGTTAAAGAGTGGGTGCTGTCAACCAGTTGCTTTCTCTCTAGTCAGCAGCTTAAAATTAGTGAAAGTAGCAGATAGCTTTTGTAGATTTTGCATAACAAATATGGTGAACAAGTTTGGTTGCATCTTTTCAATTATTTGGATAATTGGAATAATCAGATAGTAGTTGTTGGAAACCTTAATTTTGATTAGATGATTATTTTTGTGACAATTAGTATCATCAGAATTTCAATTAACACTTTCAATACAAGCTCGGTCAATTTGACCAACTATGTTATCTTTTTGTACTTGTTTAAAGTCTTCATAGATTTAAAACTTAACTCTCAATATAGTGGGTATATCTTCACGAAATTTGGCAGTTTTTGAGTTAATATTACAAGTCTTTCACATACAAAACTCGTATTTATTAGTGAAGTATTTTTAATGAAATAAAGATGTGTCCATTAATATATTGAGTATTTGTTTTGAAAAGTCCATGTGCAAAGTAATTTTTCATGTTAAAATTGAATATACTTTTCCACATCTCAAAAAATCTTCTTTATGTAATCCCTAAAACCTCCTAAATGCATTTCAAACCTCGTAACCATCAAAAATCAAATCAAAATAAACCTAAATTAACTTTTTTTTTTCTTTCTATAATGACTTCAAATTGTAACATGAAAATACATTTGTTTATTCTAAGTAGCTCTACGTTTGTAACATTATACATCTATTTATAATTAAACTTTATTGGTTTATTGCTTTTTGAACTGTGCCTAACTTCTATCTGTGCCGTTATAAACGGTAAATCACTCTGGAAACTTGTAGCTCATGTTAACGCTATTGAATTACATTACCCATGAGCTACTCGCATGCGTGCCTCATGAACTATTTTAATTATATTATTATTATTATTATTTATTTTACCTAATCTAGTCTTAAATAACTTAAAAATATCCATATTTTATAGAATTTAGTTACTTTTACAATAATAAAGAAAAAATAAATATGAAAAACAAGAAATAAAGTATTTACCTAATCTTCTTTTTTCTTGCTGTCAGGTTTCGAAATTAACCCTACTTTTTTATACTATAGATAGTAATGCATTTAATAACTTTTATTTAATTAAATAATGTGCAAAAGAACATAGACTAATAACATGCAAAAAGTAGACAAATTCACTTACCTCTCAAAATTTTCATGATTTTCTAACTGTACGACAAGAGCCATTACAAATTCATCCAAACTAATCGTTAACTTTCCCACAGGAAGGAATCTTGTACTGTGAGTGAAATTAATGATATTCTGTTCAGAATACAATGTTATACAATAGGTCATTTGATAGATGAAAACCTTGACTTTCTATTGGTTATAGGTAATATATAATGAAACATAAGAGAGAACTATCAACAAATTTTGAAAGAGAGGATGTGACAGGTGGGTGTGGCAGAAGGGGTCTGATTTTCTATCTGATAGCTCTGTAACCAAACAGACTCGAAGGCTATAAAAATTATAGTTTATTTGAGCAATAACAATTTTATAGAAAATATTTTACATTTAATTTCATATATTTTTGATAGGTGGTGGATAAAATAGAGATGATGACATGCCAAGACAAAATGTCACGCAGGTCACACTAGTGGAAATTTGGGATTTTTAAAAATATTTTCTTCTTGAGTTAAGAACTTAAAACCTGTATACTATTAAAATATGGATTATTAG